CCCCCGCGGTGAGCAGTGCACACGGTCGTGCTGCGCCGTACTATTCTGTTGGCGCAGGTCAGCACGCAGAGAAACAGATCCAACAGAGCTGCTTCGTGACCTCCAAAAGTCGTGCGATGATTCGCCACAGTCCGTCATGTGTCGTGTGATGGCTTGCGGATCTTTCATGAGTGCAAAGACTGGAAACGGTTCGTGTTGCTTTTGTTCCGGCGAGTTTTAGTGGCAAGGTGGACATCGGCCGTGCGTGACCTCGGAGCCGTCAGGCCGGTAATTGATAGCTATCAAAAGAGCCGAGAAAACAGAAAAGTGGAAGCGTCTCAAGGTGAATCGCTTGCCGTTCTTTCCTAATAACGGAAGCCCTTGCCGCCTACTTAGACTTAGCCTAGAAGGACAATGCTAGAGACTCATGACCGCCATGAAATTGAGTGGGGTCAAACAATTCACCGTCTTGTTTGCACACTCATTACGTAAGTATCTAACACCAAGCAAGTACAAACTGTGTAAGCGTGTAAACAGTTTGTGTGTAAGTTGTTGATGAACTCAGGCAGTTCGCTGTGATACTTATGGCGCATCTTTGTCACTTAAGTACGTTTTACCAAGTTACATCGATATGTATCTCCCTTACCCACCAATCGCACTACGAAAAATGAAAATGTTGCAAGCATACACTGATCCATCCGATGCGGCCGAGCGCCCAGCGGCACTCATCCCGCCTCCATCCTGCTCATCTGCCATGCCCCGGTCCAGTTTCGCCCCATTGTCGGTGCGTTACATCTCTACTGCGGCGGCCCCGGTTGGCTCACGAACGGTATCGCATGCACGGGGCCAATGCGGTGAAAAACCGGTCTGAGCATCCGATCGGTGCTGCGGTCTGTTCAGCAGAGACGAGGCGCACTGACGAGCCGGCACTCCCACCCGCTGATGACGCCCGGTGACGCTGCGGTCTGTTCAGCAGAGAGGAGGCGCACTGACGAGCCGGCGCTCCCGCCCGCTGATGACGCCCGCCGGCGGGCAGGTCCGCCACTGCCCGGGATTCCCGCCTCACGGGCAGGGGCCGCTGAGCTTCGGCGCGGCCGGCGCTGTGCCGCGTCGTTACCGACTCGCCGCTCCAGCCCTCATGCTGGCAGCCAGACATGTATTGACAGGAGGATAAGGGGTCTCAAGCCCTTGTTTTCGGCGTTATGGGTGCCGGGCCGAGTATATCCGACCTCAAGGCACCAGGAGGCATCAGTTCCAAGAAGATCTCAAGCCGTCATAAGATATTTTGGATTATTATCGTAAGACATTAACATTTTGCAAGGGAAATAGATCACGTTTAAGTACTTAAGTTTTCAAATGTGTAACCAAGCACTAGTAATCAAGAGTTGCGTTAACTGGCAGTGCAGTGTTTACGCTGTAAAATGTGGCGATTAATTCGCCTGTCTTAATCATCGGCCCAGTCAAGCGGCTATTGTGAGGCGACCCGGACCAAATCGGCGTGAAGCCGCGCCAGGCCACACTCCAGGCTCTGGCGCCACGAGTCACGTGCCGGTGATTAGGGGCTCAGTTTAATGACGGCCGTCAATGGGTAAAGTTCCGCTATAGGGACAGAGTTCTTTGAACCTGACCTGCCGGGTTTGAGGGAAACCGGTTTGATTGACGTTTAGTGAACGCTTCGGAAAGGTTTCCAGAATCCTTGGCTGTGGTAGCCCCGCAGCTACAACGGAATTTCCGTGCCCTTTTCAATCAGCGTGTGACAGGAAGGAATTCTTCAGACGTCCGCGCTGCCTGAAACAAATGGGGGACAGAGGTAACATAAGGGATTAACTTTGCCCTTTACCTGTGCTTCGATGCGTCGCAAAGGTCGCACATAGCGTCCTTGTAAGAGGCAAACAATGTCAAGCTCCTACCTTTAATTTGCTGTCATGTAACTCAGACCATGATGAACGGACTCACAAAGTGGGCCGTAAAATAGACCCAAATCGTCTCTAATTGGCATTCTAAATGCCCCATCCAATCTGGCGTCCTTCCAAAAAGGCATCGGCCAACCTCCTCTCCAATCAATCGGCCAGACTGTCTCCCACCCCGACATAAGTATCGATATGGCCCTCCCCCGGGCAAATACCGATCCAACATCCTCTCCTGTGTTTGCCTGACGCTCCCCCGACACGCGTATCACTTGGCCGACATTGACTACAGGTGCGTCGGCTAACCTAGATCGCGGCCTAGGCGCACGGCTCGCTCCACACCGCGCTGGGTGCACCCATCAGCTCATCACCCGACAAGGCAGCAACGGTGCGGCGCTCATCGTCACGCAACCACCCGTTCGCCACCCCCCTGGGTGCGCCGCGTCCCCCCCCCCCCCTCCGAACGTGGCGTCTGCCGCGCTGCCGTGCCCGGCGGGCAGTGCGCGTGGGGAGACGGGCAGCTAGCCCGCCAGGTGGGGCAGAGCGGCAGCGAGAGCAAGGGGAGGCGGGCAGCGAGCCCGCCAGGCGGGGGCAGATCTGAAGCATCCACCGTACGACGCCAGGTGGGGGCAGAGCGGAAGCACCCACCGTGCGACGCCAGGTGGGGGCAGAGCGGAAGCACCCACCGTGAGATGTCCGCCGGAGGCCCGGCGACCTTCGCGAAGGCCGCCGCCGGCCGGTAATTCGCCGGCGCGGCGCGGTCAGGCCTGCAAATCGCGCCGCCGCCGAGCCGCTGGTCTGGAACGCCCTGCGGTGGCCGCTCCCGTGGGCGGGTCCCGGCGGCGGTTACGAACCACGTGGGTCGGCTCCGAGCGATGGTTACTGGGCGCCGGTCCGGCCCCTGGCCAGCACGTCCTTGGGTCGGCTGTGGCGCTCGAAGACGTGCACGCATGTCCTGATATCGCCATTTAAGAGGTTCGCACCTGGAGCATAACTAAAGTACGGTTGGGGCGTTTATCATGCTTGTCTGCTTTGGTGCGCAACTGTCGGACACGAGCGTGACTTTGATCATGGGGAGCGCCCATGCTCGCCAAGAAACTTTCAAACATGGATAGGTGTTACCTTACGTTCACAAATTCTGCCAATTAAGCTATGCATTGGCTAGGCACATGCGGCTTTATGGTCTTTGCGAGGAGAAAAGTCAACCAATTGCGGTTTAAGTTCGTGTTGCATTTGGAGGTGAGCTGCTGACCCAGCTGAAGATTACTTACATCAGATCTCATCTTGACCATAAGCAACGCTTTTGTTCAGGGGCATGCTCAGAAGTGATGGGCGACGGTGATTCGTATTCCTCCTTCGCCTCACTCCGAGATAGAAAACTGGCATAGACGCCTGACAACAAGCAGAATGAAAATGTGCGATGTTGTTAGTTGCAACGCAAGACTGCAGCGCCCTTAAATTTGTTGTTGACTTTCGGTCAAGATTAGGGTCCAAGGCTGGCTTGGGCAGCCGCTGTTGCCACGAAATGTCAGCAAGCATTAATCGTTTGGTTTTCAGCAATGTGTCAAAAGTTGGTCACACTTACTAAATGTTTAATCCAGTATGTTCCTGCATTGTTAGCGCTGACGCAGATCCTCGATGAACTACGTCTGTGCTGTTATCTGAGTGCACGTTGCTTCTTATCAAGAAGCATAGTATTTTGATAAACTGAAATCGATACCGAAGAATTTGTTGCAGTGCATGTGGAGTGGCTTGGTCTGATGACGCTTGCCACTGCTGTTCGGCATGGTCGCTCACTGTCGCTCGCGTCTGCTCTCTGAAAAATTCTATCGGATTCGACTGATCGAATCCGATGGTGTTTTTTTCCCAGCCATTCGTCCTCTACGAGGCGGTTCGTCCACAAAGTTTGCTTTGAACATTGACATCCTGCTGGGGCCAATGATAAGAGATGCGTGATAGGAGTGATGGGGATAAGGAATTTACTTTTAAGTACGCATGCAACTCTTTGCAGAATGCCCTGGCATTTTGATAAAGACATTCTTGTCTGCGTGTTGGGCCATCCAAGCTCTGTGCAGTACAAGCTTCTGTTTTTCTCCATACTTCGCCAAGAGCAGTCAATGCTGTTGTGTTAGAACATATTTTATTCTACTTGGTGCCGTAAATGCATGCGAAAAAGGTGGTCAGCTTTCACTTCAGTTTCTCAGCAGTTCAATTCAGCCTTTGGACAAGATCAAAATGTTGGAAGCGACCGTGGCCTCGTCGCGCATCTGGGTCTGAAATGTCTCCCCGTCTGCGGACTGATGCTTCGGCATCTTTATATCCTTGATCAGATTTGAAGCCACTTGACTGCAAAGCCTTCATCGCGATCATTCAGGTTGTTTCCCAGATCACCAGGCAGACCGTGTTGACGCGTCGGTGCGGCCCGGCTACGCGCGGTTCACAGCTGGCATGCGCGGCACGACCCCGCCCACCGAGAGAGCGGCCGGGCAGCGCGTGGGAATGTGTTGCGGGTTGACTAGCGTATAATGTTGGCGTATCGAGGAGTGGCTATTGATGCACATACCGGGCAATGAAGGAGCATTTTACCCAGGAAGGCACACGATGCGCCCAGTATTTGTCGGTTAAGAACTGTTATCTGCCAATGAATGACCTTGGTCAAGATTTTCTACTTTTATGCTCCTTTTCAACTCAGCTTGTGGACCTTTGAAAAGGCCATGCAAACGTTTGCCTTGCATTTAGCCGTTCAGCCATTTTTTTCTTGCATTGCGCTTTTGTATAAGGTGATGTACTGATACAACTCTGCTCGCACGAAGTAGACAAATACAAAATCGCATTTTTGACAACTTGGCGGTAGAAATTATCACACTTGAGACACTTGAGACCCCTGGCCCTCCCGGAATTTGGTAAATCTCAGCATTAGCCCATGCTGGTGCACAGAAAAGCGGAATACCCTTTAGCCACCCCCGTTGGACAAGTTCCTACTGCTATGCCCGGCAGAATATCACGTGCTGTCGTAAGCCACTAATGATGCCATGTGGCAGATTATCACGTGCTGTCGTAAGCCACTAATGATGCCATGTGGCAGATTATCACGTGTACCTCTTTCCTTTTCAGTCGTTTCTTCTGCGCTCATCTTTCTTGGAGACGATGACTTCACTTCGGGCAGTTCTCGTGCTGGCGCTGGTGGCTACGGCGTACGCCGGTAAGACTTCAGCGGGCCCTGAGGCATGACCGAAGATCGGGCCGAAATTAGCTTGTCCTTGCCCATTACCCAGAATTGCCTCGTCGTGTTCTGGCTCGTTTGAGTGCGAATGATTGGTTGGGCCATGTATGCGTTGCTTCCTGTTGCCTTAGATTGTGTGGTTATAGGCAGTAAAACTTGAGGTACATGCAGCAAAGCTCGTGCGTAATGATACGAGAGGATTTTCCACCCGCGGCTGTATGCCTCCCATTTGTGAAGGTCATTACGCTGAGATTCAGACTCTGGGATCATTTGTTGTGTAATGACTTGGGAACAGCGCATAATGCCTATAATACGTATTGGCGAACCCGGCCTTCTTGAGACCTTGAGGATTCGCCGAATCTGTGTGCAAAGGCAATGCATTTGAATACTTTCAGCCAAGGTTGTTCATGCATGCATGGCATATCTGGCAGATTAGGTGTAAGATGCAGTGACTGTCAGCATCGCGAACCACTAACCATGACACTGAACAATGCACTTGGAACTGTCCTTTCATGCCGCATAGATGACCTCAAACTCCTCCCCCAACAACCAGCAGCGTGGCATTCTCCGAGCCATGGAGCGATCGCGTGCCAAATCTTCAAGGACGTCAGCACATCGTTTGCAAATTATACTGCCAGGCGTCTTCAACCCTCGGCTCCCACGCCCAGACTAGGACCATATCGCCTTCAATAGTGCTGCCACCTTTCACTGAGCCGCGCTACTTTTACAGCGCCCGCGGTCCACCAGGTGGCAGAGGCGGGCCGGTCGCACCACGAGGAGGCGGGACCGGAGCACACAGGTGAGCCCGCTCTGCCGTGACCGCCGGCGGCGCCTCTGCTGCGTGCAGTGGAGGGTTGCCGAGATCGGCGGCGGCCGGGCGGAGCCGCCCGCCACTCCGCTGATCTCGGGTCGTTGCCCCCGGCCGCCCGGCAAATGCACCAGCGGAACTGGAACGCTTCCGCCTCGCCTGGATGCGCTTGGCACGAGCTGAAGCTTCGTGGGGAATCAGCTCCGTGTGAGGCGGCTCTCGTAAAACTTGCAATGTAATTTGGCGTGGGCTTTTTACGGCCAAGTTTATGAAGTTATGTGTTCGGGTTTTGCGTACAGCAGTTGAGCTGTGGTGTGGGTAGGTAGGTACCGGGAGAGAACAGCAGAGCCATGTTTGAATAAGTTTATGAAGGTATATGATTACAGTTTGTGCTTTCTTAAGGTTATGTTGTATTCCGTCTCGGATATTGGGTAATCACCACCGCTCCATCGGCTTTATTAATTAATATAGCTATGCCATGCCAACGTGCCTGCTTCGTTATTCAGTCGTTTCGTCATTACTACCGGTTACATAACAACTGGGTGTATAAACCACAAATATCTTATCCCACATATATTTACACAGGCCTGCGTCCATGCATTCAGGCTCCTCGCGGGCACTTATGAAATCGTGCCTAGGATGCAATAAATTATTTAAAGAGATTGCTGCTCACCATGGGGAGGTATTTGAGCGCATGGTTCAAATTTTCTTCACAACGTAAATAAAATTTGGTCTGAACACAACGGGCCGATGCAGCTACAATAATCTCAGACTAGAAAAGAAACGTCACTAGGAGTTGTTTTGTTCTCGGGCGGTACCTGCTACCCTGCGACAATGCTACGCTGTTTTTAGCGATGTAAGGTAATGTGATTAGATTGTATTGCACTTGCAAACAATGACAATGCTGTCATTAAATTCCGCGGTCCGGTTCCAGAAAAAGTGATATGCAAAGCATGCTCAAAGCATTGGTACGAAAAACAATGCACTCGGAGGGGGTAAAGACAAAAGGGATTAAGTCATAAGACCTAACACTTGCTTCTGGCCATATTACCAGCTTTGTTTGATCTGTGTCGTGCGAGTATTGAGTTTGGAGGTGGTTGACAGAGAAGACTGGTTAATGTGCCTTGCCTGAAAAGTGCCAAGAGAAAAGAGTGTCTTCTGTGCCTTCTACAAATGTATATAGTATTTGGGAGCACCTATTTTATTTATGCACGACATATTCGCCATCGAAACAGTGTAGAATTTGAATCAATCGTACAGCGTCATGTATTGAAGTCGAAGATGCTTCCGAGAACAAGTCATTTATTAACTTCACGGCTTTCTTTCGAAACACCATCTGTTGCTTTTCGCTCGCGTGCTTTAAGTGCAATGTCGAAAAACAGTTACATATATTTATCAACTGTATCAAACAAACTTACATGGAGCAAACCTACTCAGCTCTAGCAGACCGCACACCAACAGCAGACCCGCTGTGATCTCAATAGCATCATTCACACCAGAGCAATGGTGACCAGCAATGATGGCTACGTTTCACACGAGCTCCGTCTGTTGCAGGCATGACGCCGGCCATGGTTGAGTCGACTGCAGCGGAGGGCGCGGCTGAGAGTCAGCCGGACGTCGAGGTGTCCGTGTCCACGTCCACGTCCATGGAGATCACTGCCGTCACGTCCTCGGTCAGCGAGGAGATGACGCCGATGCCCGACCAGGCGTTGGCCGGCGAGGCACAGGCGACAGCCGAGGAGGCCCCGGCCGCGGAAGAGGAGACCAAGGCGGCGGAAGAGGAGGCCCCGGTCGCGGAAGAGGAGACCAAGGCGGCGGAGGAGGAGGCCCTGATTGCAGAAAAGGAGGTCAAGGCAACGGAGGAGGACGTTCCGGTCGCGGAGGTTGAGGCAGCTCCGGCGGAGTTGGAGGAGGAGGAGGGGGCGGAGGTGATGGTTTCGGATCTGGGGGACGTCGCCTCCAACGAAATCGAGGACAGCACGAATAATGACCTCCAGATGGCGGCCGAGGCCAGTGTGGATGTGGCTGAGGAACAAGAGGAGGCCGCTGAGCCGACAGCAGTCCCGCAAATGGTTGAGGTCGCCACCTCTGTCTCCATGAAGATGACCGAGACGATGATGTCGGTGTCCTCCGAGATGAACGAGGTCGAGGAGGAGCGAGAGCAGGAAGAGTCCAGTGGCGATGGAGAGGACCAGGTCCAAGCCGACGTCGCCTACCTAGCCGACACCACCCATGCCGTGGAGCTCGCGCAGGATTTCGACGAGGGCAGCGGCGTCGAAGCCGACTTCGCCGGCAGCGGTATGGAGGCTGACTTCGAGGGCTCTGCCTCTGGCGACGAGTTCGCCATCGACATCAGCAGCTACTCGGCCGGCGAGGAGGCCTCCGGCTTCTCGGCGCAGGACGAGACCGAGGCATCCGGCGACGACACCACCAAGGGCACACTCATCTTCGACCTGGGCGCCGGGGCGTCCGACGAGCTGCATGACCTGGTGCAGCAGACGGTGCTGGAGGCGCTGATGGACGAGGGCCTGCTGTCGGCCACCGAGGTCAGCCCCGTCATCCAGGCCGAAGGCAGCGGCATCGTCTTCCTCGACAGCAGCGGCTCCGGTGACGGCGACGGCGACAGTGCACCCTTCGTCTCTATCCACTTTTGATGTGGTAGCCTATTTCTGGGGACGTTTCTGTACTGAGGAGGGGCGAGGGACGCCCGTGAGAAACTGCATAACGCGTAACCGTGGCATTACACGAAGCCAGTGGGCCAGTTGTTGAGTGGTGCCGCCGTGAGGTGCCTGCTCGTGTTTAGTGAGCCTCAGGGCGTGCGCCGGAGACGCTCTTCATGTTCAAACTGTTCGTATTTATTGTTGGTCCCACCTTGCCATGTGCTCCCGTGCGTTCATCATCTCATCACCAGCTCTGCTCGCACTGACAAGTGTGTCGCTATTCGCAAGACCTCACTGATATTACCCGTCACCCCTGTTTGTGTGAGATGCTGGCCGTTTGCTCGCGTTGCCTCCTACTTTGCGTTGTAGCTGCGTTTTTTCCAGACCTTTACCTGTGTTGACGCGTCCGCCTCATGGCTGGCGGACAAATGACCCTGCCGTCGTTGATGGCGGTCCCATGTAGGACAGCTGTCGGCTCTAGCAATAAATACCAGATGTACGGAACGAGCGATCCATTGGACTTGTAGATGAGTGCCCGAGCCAACGACGGTCTAGCGAGGGCTGATATTTCTTTATTGGCGGACAGTTATTATGGACTGCCCAGGGAACCAACGACAGAATGTCACGAAAGCAAGCGCGCTGGCGGAGACCAGTTGATGACAAGCTGTTGAACAAGCATCAAATGGAGCTGGGGTACTGCTTCCTTGGTTCGATTGTATATGGCAAGCGTAAAACGAGACCGAACGTTGATGGGCGCCGTACGTTGACGTTGGTGGGGTCTGACGTTGAGGTTGATGGGCGCCGGACGTTGGTGGAGCCGGACGTTGGTGGGGCCGGACGTTGATGGGGCCGGACGTTGGTGGGGGCCGGCCGCTGACGTTGGTGGGGCCGGACGTTGGTAGGGCCGGACGTTGGTGGGGGCCGGACGTTGGTAGGGCCGGACGTTGGTGGGGGCCGGACGTTGGTTGGGCCGGACGTTGGTGGGGGCCGGATGCTGACGTTGGTGGGGCCGGACGTTGACCTGGTGGACGCCGGACGTTGGTAGGGCCGGACGTTGGTGAGGTCAGACGTTGGTGGAGCCAGACGATACTGGCTCCGGTGGTGGCGGCGCGAATACATGCCGGGCTCACATTAGCACATCAACCAAGTGTAACACACCATCAGAAATATCCAGCAAAGGAGCATCTCTGCGGGTTTCCCTGCAAAAAAAAAATGTGCGGAGGCGGGGTTCCCCAGCAACAGACACATAGGTGAAGCATTCTTCCCGTGAGCTCAGCCACCAACGCAGCCTTGCCGTCAGCCTCAGGTGTCGTTCATCGGAGCTGACCGTGCCAGGCAGCCACTGCGCCGCGCCGCCGTGGTCCCCATCCCCGCCGGTGCGTCCCGCCGCGGTCCCCGGCCCCGCTGGCGCGTCCCCCGAGGTCCCCGGCCCCGCCGGTGCGTCCCGCCGCGGTCCCCGGCCCCGCCGGTGCGTCCCGCCGCGGTCCCCGGCCCCGCCGGCGTGTCCCGGTCCCCGGCCCCGCCGGTGCGTCCCGCCGTGGTCCCCGGCCCCGCTGGCGCGTCCCGCCGCGGTCCCCGGTCCCGCCGGTGCGTCCCGCCGCGGTCCCCGGCTCCGCCGGTGCGTCCCGCCGCGGTCCCCGGCCCCACCGGCGCGTCCCGCCGACGAGCCCCGTGACCGCGGCCGACCCGACAGACCCCATCTGGCGGTCGGCCGGCGGTCACGGTCGGACGCCGTCGCCGTGACTGTGCCGTTTCCGGTCCGCTCGGCGCGCCCGACGGTAGCCGCCGCTGCCGGCCTCGGCGCCGAGCTGGTCGCGGCGCCGAGAAGCGACCTGCGGTCTGGGATAAGGCCGGGGTCGCGGCGGGGTGCACGGCGCTCGTGTGGTGGCCTCGGTACAACATGATGGGAAGGTATCACACGGTGGTGTGGTGATCGGTGAGGTACACAGGGCAAAGTGTAGATGCGGTGACCTGATGAACATGAATGCGTGTCTGCTCTTCGCCTTATTTTGTGCGCTTTCCAGTTACACACACGGCATCGCCCGAGCTCGTATTTGAACTGAAGAAAGGCGTGTTTCATGTTTCATCATTCCACGACGCTCCAGTTATGGATGGCTGTTAGCGCAGGTCAGTGAGGCCTTTGGTCGCTTAAAGACACTTTGCTGAGGTTCGCCCACATACTGTCAAGGGCCGATGACAACACATCATCAACTGGCGTGCGCATAGCGTATGGGAGCCCAGGCGTCACCAGATCAGTGCGACTTTTTACAGAGGCGTTACAGACAAGTTACAGAGGCGATGTGAACCACCGTTTCACGTCCGCACGAGATTGCATTTTGTGTGGGGCAAGTGCCCGCAAAATGAACACCCACATAAATCTACCCACGCACAGATCTCACTGTTCATTGTGGGTGAGTCACATCATTACCTGAACATAGCGAAACTGGCAAGAATGCGCCTTGAACACTTATTTGCTAAGCCTTTTTCGTAAGGCAAATATCTCGGTCCGATTAATCTAAAGATGAAACACAGTTGATGAATAAAGACATAAAGACATCAGGCCCACAAAGAGCCACAAGGGCCCATCGAGGCTGATCTACCGCAGGTTCCGCACCCATCATTGAAACTAACCTTACCATGAACGGCCTGAATTTAGTTATAAATGAGATCCTTAGACCGATGGAAATTGTCCAAGAGATTCTTAAATATTGTTAGAGGGGACTACTTCTCACGACTTCGTTCAGCAGTTCATTCCAATGATTTACTACTCTTTAATTAAATGACATCTGTCTGTTCATACCTCAACTCCTACCTCTTGCTGATTCAAACCGGTTTCGTCTGAGTCTCTGCCTAATGTCTAGTGCTTCTTCTAGATCTCCCTTGTCTATCACTTTCATAATTTTGTTTATCTCTATCAGATCTCATCTGAGTCAACGATATTTTAGTGAATAAAGATCCAGTGCCTCAAGCTTATCCTTGCATTTTAAGTTGACGATCTCATTTATCATTCTCGCTGCTTTTCGCTGTACTCTTTCCAGTCTGTCTATATCGTTTTGAAAGCATGGGGACCAAGTCCGTACACAATACTCTAGGCGTGGTTTTGTGAATAATATTGTCTAGGTACTCTAGGTGTGGTCTAGGTAGGATGACTTTTGATGACATTTCTACTCTTGAAATGAACATTCATGTTCATAAGTCCTAGCATCCGAAGTGCCTTTCTCTAGCAGTGTTTCTCTTTCTCAGAAGTGCCTTCTCTCTCCTAGTAGCTCCATATCGCTTTTCAGCCTTTATATCCACGGAAATTATAATTCCTAAGCCCTTTTCTTCCTGGATCTGGTCCAACTCTCGGCCTCCCATTTTGTAGGTAATGCTCTTATTTCCGGAACTACTCACATGTATCACATTACACTTATCATAATGCAATGATGTATGCCACGGAGAAGCCCAGTTCACTAGTTTTTCTAAGTGAAGTTTCACCTGGTCCGCATTTTTTGCCCCTCTGTATATTTAGTATCATCAGCAAATGTAAGCGCATTTCTTTCAGATCCTACCTTGATATCATTCACGAAATGATAGAGAGCAAAGAATCCAACATCGACATATATATTATATAATATTCCATATGTATCTTGCCATTTGAGCTTATGAGCACCATGCACGCTACTATACTAGCTCAGGTCTGCCTTGCGTGTTAAATTTGCAAAACAGCGTACACATTAATGCATGTGTGTTGTGCTAAGGGCTGCTAAAAAAAATCACTGCATCAAAATATGAGCGACATCGTTTTCCACATGTTTTGGCAGAGCGATATCGCTCCGGCGGCGCCGAACACCCATCCATAACCACTAACGGCCCACGCTCCCCGAACGCTCCGGTGGTTTTTCCTCGGTTGTACAGTTAACCGCTGTGCCAGCCTGTTAGCCGGCCGGGTGTGACTAACACCGCAATATCGGTCCGCGTCGGTCAGCGGCGGATCGACGGGCGGCGCGCTGTGGTAAAAGATAATCATTGATCGTCAGATTTCAGCGCATCAATCGATTTAACGCAGGTGTAATAGCAAAACAGATGCGTTCGTGTCCTCGGTCACCTTGAAAACCTAATTCAAATTGATGACGAGCCAACCGACCTCAAGAACCATCATTTGAAAGTGATTTACAGGATGGACAGGACAGGATTTACACGGCAGGTTTGGTGCTATGGCATGCTTTCAGTGCCGCCCAAGTGCATGTAGTGGAAACGGAGCTTACGGAAGCAAGAAAGGCGCAGGAAGAGATGGATCTGTCGGTTGAGGCGCAGTCGACTAAGAAGTACGGATAAGCTCTCCAGAGCTGGTCAGCGCGTCCATCTTTTCACAGAGCGAAGGATGGTAAGATGGTTCGTGAACAGCTCCTTCCATCTCCTCTGTGAACAGTTCACTGATGAATGTTATGGCAGAAACAGGTCAAAACACTGTAAATGAATATGGTAAATGAATATAATAATCAATATGGCAACAATATCATGACATCACCAATTCTGATAGATTTGATGAAGTAGCCCTTCGCCGTAGTAATTTCAGATGATTATGTCCACCTATTATCACACAGGAGTGTTCTAAAAATTCACGTTTAGGCAATGCTCTGAAGGGCCAAATTCTACTTTTGAGGAACCGGCGATACCATTAAATGTCTGTCAATGAGCAGAGAGCAGGAAATACCTTGTGGTGCTGGAAGATGCGAGGTTTTCTAGCGAGTATGTTGTGAAATGCGTAAGTCAGTTTAAAGGGAATGTTCTCCATTTTTTCATATTTTCTGAGCTACATGCCCGCGAAAATGGGGAAAATTATATCGGGGATAGTTCTTCAAAGTCACCTTGGCATTCATGACGTCATGATAACGTGAAATCCTGTCATTCCATAAGCCATGCGGCGATCAAGGTCAAAAAAACATTGTCGAGGCGTTTACATCTGGCGTTCAGGGGCTCTATTTCCAGATATAACGGCCATCAATGGACTCTCAATCAACTTTTGGCAAAGGTATGATGACGTAATCAAACCACGACGTATTGAGGGGCATATCTTCTTAACAGAGAATTGTGCTGCCTAGAGCAGTCTTTTCAACTTAGAAAGCATACCAATAGTTATAAATGAGGTTGCTTTCACATATCTGATGTTTGCTTCAATATCTTTTGCCGCCTCCGTGGTCTTGGGGAAAGGTGCTGGACTCGTAATCCAGCGGCACTGGGTACGAGTCCCAGAGTGGGCGCATTGTTTGACCCGACTGAAAAGGAAAGGCCAGCTGGCAATGTGCCAACGAGGTTCAACCCAGGCCCGAGGCGGCCGTGTTGCAGCATTGTGCGGCACGTAAAACCCTCCGCATCCCTGTCTGGCGAAAGGGCGGAGGCAAAATTAGCTGTTGAACTGGACGGCACGCTTGGGTGGTGGGTTCGGGGTACACGCAACAAGCTATGCTTAGCAGGTACTCTGAATCCGAAGTCACCCTTAAAAACCATTCGGAATAAATTTACCAAAAA